CTAAATATCAAAAATACAAAAAAATACAAGAATTTAGTACAATTTTTGTATTTTTATATATTTATTAATTTTTTAAAATATTTTTTCACAAATTTTTTACTTTTTAGATACATCTAAGTAAGGTGCATCTAAAAAAGTAAAAAAAAAATTAAAATTTAAAAAGTCAATTTTCAAAAAACTTAATTCAGAAAACTCAAACCAAACACACTGAATATTATTCAAAAAATTAACATTAGAATCGACCCGACCCACGCCTAGTACGGCTCGGCCGAACAAACGGCGGCGGCAGCGTGCGGGCGCGTGTGTGATGGTTTGAGTCAAGGTTCAATTTGCCCATAATTCTTCCCTTCTACAAACTTGGGATGCCCCTTGGGGCCCAACCCAAGTGTTGTCACCTAGAACTTATATATACACATAAGTTCTCCTAAAGTTTCAATGTGAGAGAAGCCTTACAAGAAAATTCACATTTTATCCTTTAATTGTCTAATTCCACGAACCCGAAAATGACGTTAACTTCCCATTTACTCATAAATAGTTTTGACAAACCGTCTTCACCGTGTGACTTGCCATGCAACAAGGAACACGTCACCTCTTTGGACCCATCCAAAAGATATTTGAGACCCACTCAAATTTGAAATCAAAATTGATCCAAAATAAACGTATAAAAATTAATTTTCTAACATATATATATATATATATATATTTATTAAAGTACAGAAGCAATAATGGTCCTCCGACTTTACATTACCTTAAGGCCATGTTTGTTTGGGCGGACTGGATTAGAATTCCCATGACTAATAGTCCTAAGACTACGAATCCATTGGATTATGTATCCTATCTTAACTAATAATCAAGTTTAAAATAATTAATCCGTACTTCAATTGTTTAACCAAACATCGGATCAATAATTTTATTAGACTATTAGTCCAATCCCAAACTCATGTCCACCCAAACAAACATGACCTAAATGAGGATATCCCTAATACTGGGACATATTATTATTAATTGAAATACAGATAGATATCCCTAATAATGGGACATATTATTTTATTATTATTATTAGTTGAAACAAGTTTAACGTTGAATTTGTTATCTCTAATATTACTTTTGATACAAGAGGTGTTGGGAAAAGGATGACCAATTCATTTGCTTTCATCTTCCCTTTATTTTTATTTTTTGGCAAGGGTTCTTTTATGTCTCTACTTTAAAATATTCATAATTACTGAATTATTAAAAATCTTAAGATTTGATAATCTCATATATAATCTAATTGATATGAATATTTTAAAATAGTGAAATTTGAACACATCCTATCACAGTTCTGTTTATGTATTCAAAGTTAAAAGTGTCACATTGTATTAGGGAGAGAGTCCAACTAGAGGGTGCGGTTGTCGAAAATTTTATATCTGTAAAATATAACGTTGATTGGATATCGATAACCACATAATCATATCACATTTGCATAAACAAGTGGCTATCGTTATTCAATCAACATGATTTTTTGTAAGGATAAAGTATTCGATGAGCCCTGCATATTAAACAATTCAAATCATTGATGTGCACCAAGGATCCTCTAGAGTGATTTTTTCCTAAAGTTTCCTAGAGTGTTACATTGTGTGGTTGAGATTTACTGAAAAAAATCACTCTAGAGGATCCTTGCTCATCGATGTGGGCTTCGTAGTGGGCCCACAGAGGCCCAATATCACCGTCTAGTTTGATTTGGACCAGAGAGAAACCTTTCCCTTATTATTATTATTCAGCTTATTTGGTTTGAGTTTTTTAAATTCACTTTTCAAAAAATTAAAATCTTTATTTTTCATATATTTTTTTTCATTGAATTTTTTTAATATTTTAAGCAGTTTTTAAATTTTTTTTTTTTAGATACATCTAACATTAATACACTTAAAAAATATAATATTTGTGAAAAAATCTTTAGAAAAATCACTAAATACCAAAAATATAAACAAAATATGAAAATTCAATACATTTTTCTTATTTTTGTGTAGGTATTAATTTTTTATAAATATTTTTAGATACATCTAAGTAAGATACATCTAAAAAAGTAAAAAAAAAAAATTGTTTAAAATTTTAAAAATATTCATTAAAAACAAAAAACATAATTTTCATAAAATTGAAACCAAACACAGTGATCAATTTTATTTTATTTTTTACGTGATAACAACGATCCTGAATATAATATTATTTTGGGATGAACCACTTAAATCTTTGCATTCTTATACGTTTAATTTAAAATTTTATTTTATTCCTATTTGTATCTTGTATCCCAACTATAATTTAGGAATAGGCAAACACCGGACTGGATTGGGTTCGGATAGAGTTAACTGTATAGTAAGAGTATCCAAGCCCGGCCCGGCCGTAAAAAACTTCCAAATTCCAAATTTGTCCACTTAACCTGGCATGCGGTCATCTCGGCCAAGTAAGCTCGATTCAAACATGGGACCTGGACCTCGGGTCTGGGCCGCCACCGAGCAAGATCAACTCCAAGGAAACCCCAGTTAGCTTGGCCTAAACAGTGGGCCTGAGCCACGACCGAGTGAAACCCACTCGGAACAAGCCCAAATTAGCTCGGCCCAAACGTGCTCGGCCCTATCCAGTCCGACTTCTTCCACGACCCAAAACCAGATTATAAATCTCCCTCCCAATAAAAAAATGGTAAATTATAAATACACTCCCTGAGATTTGATTAAAATACGAATTACCCCTGAGATTTCTAATTTCATAACAAATATTTCATTTTATTAATAAATCATCAAGTCAATTAATAATTTTTAATGATGTCAGAAATTTATTTAAATAAATAATTCAAGTAATTTTATTATTGCATAAGAGAGCAGTTAAGAATTTATTTTTTCAATTAATTATGTTAAATTAAAAATCTTAATAATGAAATATTTATAATTTTTCAAATCACAAAAGACAATTCGTATTTTAAAATTATTTTAAAAAATATATTTATAATTTATTTTACTATTTTTTTTTCTCTCTAAATCTTAAAAATGTTGGGAAGGAGTTGGTTTCGGCAGATTGAGGGGCATGGCCAGTCCTACCATAATTGTGTATGAATTGACGCACTCCATTAGAGTACTGTTGTTTTGAGACCCTTTTTTTTTCTTTTTTGAAAAATGCTTGGACCTCTTTTTTTTGGAACTCATTTTTAGATCTTAATCACTGATGTATGTGTAGGACCTACTCACGTATGTGTGGGCCTATACCATTAATGAATCCAAAAGGAATTGTGAAGTCCTTAAAAAAAAAAGTCTCAATCATTTTTTTTTTCACAATAAAATTGGAACAGTGTGTGTACGTGTAACGTGTTGTAAAGCATCAACCTGAATTTTTTTGTCCAGGGAGGTACTACACTGATTTCAACCAACTTTCAAGAGTGTACGTTGAGAAAGTTAGCTTAAGTGTGAGCAGCCCATGCAAACTTGGAAGGGCAGTTGAGTTCAATGTGATTTTCTCTCTCTTCTTTTTTTATTTATAAGATATAATAAAAACTTTCTAGATTGTGATGTTCAATGAGTCGGCATCATTTTTATATCACCATAAAATCAAACATAATCATTTCTATAGTGGTAACTTTAAGTGCTGAGAATATAAATATCTGTTGTTTATTTAAATTACGCACTTTAAATATATATATATATATAGGGACTTATAATTTTAAATTTGTAGATTCAATGACAAATGAGTTAGTCCTAATAAAGTTAAGTGTGATGAATTAAAAATTAATAACTATTATATCACTTTATTTTGAGTGAATTTGTGAGAATTTTTTTAAAGGTCCCAAATGTTTTCTTATGGTGTGCATCTTGACACAATGTACGTGATAAATATCACGACATGTTGTCACTTTTCTCACTAAAATAATTTGTAATTTTTCTCAACAAAATGGTTTTTAACATGTTTACTGGTCACAAAAACATGTTCACTAGGCCGATGATTCGCAACTTTCATTTTAGCAGTGTACACCATTGATTTCTCCAACTTATTATATGATGTCAATCATATTTAATATAAATTTGATTAATACATTTTAATAATTTTGAATATTTTTTTTGGTAAAATTCTGAATACATAGAGTTGTTATAAAAAAATATCTTTTACTAAATTAATTTTTAATTTTTTTTAAAAATCTGAAATAAAATTCTAAAAACCAAATTTATATGTGAAAAAGTTTCAATACAAAAAAAAAAATAATAATAATAATAAAAATAAAGATAAAGAAAAAACAAACAGTTAGGCAAAGACCTATGGTAAACTTCGCACATGCAGACCAAGAACCCATTTCAGGTTTATTAGGATAACTCCCTACGGTCCAAAATCTGGACTCGATTGGGGTGTTTGAGTCAAATTCATCACGGTTCCGTTTTAATAATTTAAATAATTTATTTTATTAAATATTTTGTATATTTTATTTACATAAAAAATTAGATCGATTTGATAATTGTAAGTTACTTAATTTATCATATTTTTTATTAAAAAAATAGACTATAATTATGTTTTTCAAAAATAAATTATTTTTTTTTATGACAAAAATAATAAATTGAATAAGTTATAGTTACCTGATCAACCTAATATTTTTGTGGATAAAATATGAAATACCTAACAAAATAAACAATTTAAATTATCAAAATAAAAACATGCCCAAATAGACCCATCCGATTCAAATTCAAATTTTGAACTAAGAATCCTCTTCCGTTCAAATTTTAAACAAGTATGATACATCCCTCTAAAAATGAAGAACTAAACCAGCTCTAATGAGTTAGTAATTCAAAAAAAAAAAAAAAGTAGACACAGTCATCACATCATGAGGGTCAGTTCATTAAAACTCCCCTAAAATTTTATATTTAGAGATCCCAAACATTATTCAATTTTGAATCAGGAATCCTCACATGTTTATGGAATAAGTGGGGACCCCATAAAATCAGTCTCCTTAGGCTTTGCAGGGACACATTATATATACCAACTAATTCACACAATTCCAAGCAAAAAGAGTCCCTCTTTCAGCCTTAGAAGGAAACCGTGTTTCCTTACGTTTTGGAAGCAATTATATCACTGAAAACTGAGCCCCGCTCGCTCACTCACTACCCTCCAACAGAGAGAGAGAGAGTGGACTACTTGGAAGAGTTTCATAGATGGGTAGGAGACCTTGTTGTGCCAAGGAAGGCTTGAACAGAGGAGCATGGACTGCCATGGAGGACAAGATTCTCACAGACTACATCAGAGTTCATGGTGAAGGAAAATGGAGAAGCCTTCCCAAGAGAGCAGGTGAGAGAATGATATCATAACTCATGATATACATATAGCTTTTTGGTAGATAGTAGATACAAATTAAAGAGCATCTCCAATGTTAAATCTGACATGCCATTGGCAAATCTTGGCTATGTTACAACATAAAAAAGTCAAAATTTAACAATTTTGATCTCATCTCAAATTTTCAACCATTTTCTAAATCTATATAAATTACATTTAGCCGTTCAACTTTAGTCATTGTTAAAATTCATGCCAAATTTAACACAGATGATAGTAATGTCAAAATTTGGTAACTTCAATGACAATAAGCCGCTCAAAGAATAATGAGTTGAGAGTCCTTTGTCCCCCTCTCTCTATTTCAAACACTACTTTTATTTTAAAATTTGTCTCTCTGATTTTGATCTTGCGGTAGATATACATAGTGACAAAAAAATTGGAACAGAAGATCTGATTCGATATCTATTAGGATTATTTGTATTTTTTCAAACCAAAAAAGGGAGAAAAAACAAAACAAAACAAAACAAAGCAAAGCAAAATAAAATGTTATGAATGATTTTGTGTGTGCAGGTCTTAAGAGATGCGGGAAGAGCTGCAGGCTTCGTTGGTTGAATTACCTAAGACCTGATATTAAGAGAGGAAACATTAGCCGTGATGAAGAGGATCTCATAATCAGACTTCACAAACTCCTTGGAAACAGGTTATTTCTAATTAATTTCTTTTTAAGTCAACCAAAATTTGTAATAAAAAAATAAAATAGTTACTGTTTGTATTATTGTTAAATTACCATCCTGCATTGACATTTTTTTGTCGAAGATAGAATATTAGTATATTAGTAAAGTTAGGTTACAATCGCCGCTTATCTATCAACTTGAATCTCAGACCTTTCACTTATCACATCCTAAGGCGCTTACATGCCACTCGGCCAAAAGGGCATTGGCAACCTGCATCGACATTACTCAGTGGGAGACATCATACACATTTATTTTTATTAAAAAAAAAAGAAAATTATTCGAGAAAATTATTGAACTAAGAAAAATGATGATAGCAACCAAAAAGGAGGATTGGGTTAAAATAGCCTATTAAAAAAAAGTTAAAATAGTCAATAAAATAAAATGTCACATCAAACTCATAATTATTTCATTTTTTTTTTCTCGTAACCATCAAATTAACTACCAAAAAAAAAAAAAAAAAAAAAACTAGCTTCCTTCCTAAACATGACTATTTTAGTGGCGCTAAAATAGTAAAAAATTCAACTAAAATAATCAATTTCTCAAACAAGACAGTTTAATAATGTCATAATGATCACAATAATATATTGTAAAGTGTTTATCATCTCATTTATCAACATTGTATTTGCTAAAAATATGAGTGATGGGTCATTTAAACCAATATAGTTGCGACATCACCAAAGATCCTCTAGAGTATTTTTTTCTTAAAGTTTCCTAAAGTGGTGTATTGTGTAGTTGAGATTTAATGCTGAAAAATTGATATGACTTGTCATTAAATCTCAATCACACAATGCACCACTCTAAGAAACTTTAAGAAAAAAAAACTCTAGAGGATCCTTGCTCTTGTGACATACGATAAAAGATTATAAACAACTTATAAAATACAAATGTAATTATTGTATTATAAAGAAAAATGTTTGAGACACTTAATTTGTTATCTTTAAAAACAATCCCTAATGATGTGTCTTCACCAACTCTTTAGAGGTACTGAGCCTTTTGTGCTCTAGCACACAGTGAACATTCCTTTGACAAATATTAAATTTTAATTTATCAAAAATTTTATCATGTGCAGTTTAATTTTAATACCACACATAATGAGAAATCATTTAAAAGTTATAAAGTAAAAGAGGTAGTATTGTTGATTATGATCAATTATTTGTGTGACCTTAAAACACTTTCAACAAATGAAAAGTTGTTTCAAAAAAAAAAACAAATGAAAAGACATTTAGAATTAGAGATGGCTCATGTAATTCTTGGGAAGTCCTTGTGGCAGATCCTATGTGGGGATTATATTTTATCCCCAAGTCCCTTCTTTATCTCACGATGAATTTTGAGGGTAATTATTTAGTATTATAATTGGAAGATAATGTAAGTAGGTGGGATATTGTGCTTAATAATTAAAGAATATGAAAGAACATATTAAATGATGATTGATTAGGGAGTACAGACACGTAATACTCTGAAAATATTAAATAATTTTCCAAATTTTGATGATTTTTTTTTTTAAATTTTTTTTTGACCTCGTTGGCTTAGGATGGAAATAATGAAGATTTGGACATAAGTTCTCCTCTCTTGTTTGAGAAATAACGTTGATACATGCATAAAACGTGCATAAAAATATGTAATAAAATTTTACCTTTTTTTGTATTATTGATTCTTAAAGAACATGATTAGTAGGACCCAACATATTTTGACCGTAGTATTGCACATGTGTAATGTATGCAGATGGTCTTTGATAGCCGGAAGGCTTCCAGGGCGAACAGACAATGAAATCAAGAACTATTGGAACACGAATATTGGTAAAAAGATCCAAGTTTTATCTCAACCAAGCGCAACCTCAACTATTTCAAACCGCTATAACTCCTCAAATCCTCAATCCAAACAAAACCCAAGTCGGACGACAGACCACTCGGTTGCCCAACCACCTTTACCAAATACCGAACCATCACGCCTAGTCCGTACCAAGGCATCAAGGTGCACCAAAGTTTTCATCCGACCGGACCACCAAAATGTTACAATTCATCACAATGTCGGTGTTGGGGTGGCGGCTTCAGATCCTGGCGATGACATATCGCCATTTATTTCAGCGAAAGATGACACATCGGATTTTATGATGGATTTTGAAATGGATGAAAATTTTTTATCGGATTTTCTCAACACTGATTTCCCACCATTATATGAATTTCATAACGATCTAAAAGGCGACACTACTGACACTGTCACAAGCTCTTCATCTCTGGACTCTAATCAAAACCTATTGTCGTCAAATGAAATGTTACAGAGCTCGGATCTTCAGTCATTGGCTCCTCTTCTCGATCCTTGCATGGATTGGCTTCAAGATCAATAAGCGCGACCAAAAAAATAAAATCAAATTTGGGGGTTTAATTAGAATTAAGTTAATTAGAAATTAGACCTTGTGTGTGCTTTTGTATATATTCAATTAGGATCAAATGGTCTCAGTTATGTTTGTAATAATAAATATAAAAAAAAAAAAAAACTCATGCTGAGGTGGTAACAATTCTAAGAGGAAGAATTCTGTACTCGCTAAAAAAATTACAGAAAATAAGGCTCCGTTTGGTTTCTGTAAAAAAAAAAAAAAAATCTCATCTTGGCTGTTTTTTGGTTTCATTGTATTAGTTGATGGAAAATGAGTGAGAACACTAATTAGTGCTATCACTAATGATGTGGCAGTAGGCCCTATCATGAATGATTTGATGTTTTGGCCTTGGTGTTGTATTTTTTTTCTTTTTTTTATTGAATGTCATGTCATTAGTGGTCTTTTTAAAGCTCCAAAATTAGCGGTCTCTATCATTGTTGTTAGTTGATAATTGAAAGGAAAAAAAAAAAAAAATCATTCTGTTTGCAAACACTACTAATTATATTTTTACTTCTCATGTATTTATAATCTAGAAGAATTGAAGAAAGTTTTTTTAAGAAAAAAAAAATTCAAAAAAGGTTCACTGAATAAATAAATAAACAAAATCCAAATTGCACCTATACTTTTCCAATAACAGCATTTAGAGTATCATTATCAAGTTCATTAGAGTTTTCTCTTAGTTATTTTATAGCACAAAATCATATAAACACACTTTATCCAACACAATTATTGACTAATTACTTTAGTTAAATATCAAATTACTAGTTACATGTAATTAGGAAAATAATACCCAACAAATAAAATAAAAAATAGTGTTTGTTAGAGAATATATTTAAAAAATAATAATCTTTTAAAATAAAAAAATAGATTTTTAATTAATATTTAACTAAAAAATTAACATATTCTTACTCAACACATAAAAGTTTTAATAATAATTATTCTAAAAAGTTAAAATACAAACAAAGAAAGAGTCTTGCATCATTGCAAAGTGTTTGGGTTTGTCCTGTAGTCTTGGTTTTCACGTGAGAGCAAGAATAACGGGTCTTCCTTTTTTGTTTTTTACCCTTAATAACCCCATCATTAGGGCCCGGGTAATTATGCAACTGGTCATGAAAATTGAAATAACACATATTAAAGTGAGTGAGATTTTAAATTTGAATATATAAAAAGACTTTGAGTTGTGCCGTGGCCAAGTAAATGAGGCATATGTCTCTTACATAAAAGGGTAGGACTTAAATTTTGGGACCGCAGAATAACTTCAATTGATTATGTTATATTTTGATTGGGACTTTGCCTCTTATTATGATGGTGGGAGGGGGCAGTGAGTCTCTTCTTTTAGATTAAATTAAATTATTAACTAATTATTTCAGGTAATCTATAGATGCTATAATAACCCACAAAGTATCATTTTTCTAGTTAAAAAAAGGAAAAAAAAACTACAAACATACTAATCTAGATCTTCATACTTCTTTCGTCCCAAAATATTAGTCATTTGTTTTATTTTTTATTGTCTCAAAATATTAGTCACTTTTCAAAAATCAAGTACAAAAATAATATAAATTTTCTGTTTTGCTCTTCTTTTAAATTCATAAATGATATAAAAAGTACAATTATGACATTGATATTCTTCAAAAAAAATATACTATCAAAGAGTAATTTTGAAAAATCAATTTTTTTAAAGTGCAGTAATTATACTATCAAAAAAAATTAAATTTCTTAAAATGGATCATTATTTTAGTACGGAGGGAGTATTTATTTTCTTTGTCTTTTGTTTAGATGGTGTGATGTGTGAATAGATACAAGGTATGTGAGCTATCAATCATATCATTATTTCAAAAGTATGTATCTCCCCATCCAAGATATTTAAAGAATACACAAATTACATTTGTAATCTTTATAATTCTTATTTTATATTTATTTTAATTTTAATTTTTTATATTATGTCAATTTAATTTAATAAATAGTGCCCTTTAAGAAATGTAACTGGAACCAATGAGTAAAATAAGTTCATTTATTCTCGCCAAATTGATTGAGGAGTTGACCTCCAATTTAAAAAATTCAATCAATTTTAAATAATTTTTTTCCTGATTTCTATCTACTTTCTTAATTGAACGTTATTAATTTGACTAAATTGACACAAACATAAAAATTAAAAGGAAAAATTGATACTATTGGAACTGTATAAATCAAATTGACACAAGAAAAAAAAAATAGCAAAGACCAATTAAAACTTATATATTGATTTTACTTAAAATTATTGGCCATGAGTGGTTTGTTTTAAAAAAAAAAAAAATCAGATTTTTTTTGAAAAAATAGAAATTAATTTGATAGAAATAAATATCAAAAAAATATTTTTAAATTTTTAACAATTATTTTTGGCTTTCCAAAAGATAAAATTATATAAAAATGATAAGTACTTAATTTTTTTTTTTATTTCTTTCACCAAATTAATTTTTAGTTTTTTGTAAACAAAATTCTGAACCAAATTTTTGAAAATAAAATCAAATATGACCATAATTTTATTATTTTAAATTATTAAAATTTATATTTTAAATGTGAACAAAACTGAACTCATACATGGTGACTGATAATGAAACCAGTTAATAATTGACATTGATGTAACTATCTTGAAATTTCATAAGGGAATGGCTTCCCTCTTGTCCTAGAGAGTACTGTTGGGCCCGTGGGGGTTTATCACATGTCCCGTTTTGATAATCTGAACCGTTCAATATGTAGAACTCATCGAGTACTATGTACATATAAAAAATCAAGTTGATCGGATATCGATAGATATGTGATCAAATCAGTTTTGTATGAAAAAAAATGGACGGTGAAAAATAAACAGCTTACAAAAATCTGATTTGATCACTTAGCTATTGATATCCGATCAACCTGATTGTTTAAAGGCATATAGTACTCAGCGAGCTCTACACATTCGACGATTTGAATTATCGAAATGAGACTCATGGTGAACTCTCACGGACCTAACAATATCCTTCAGTCCAATCACGAATCGGAGAGAAGCCATTCCCATTTCATAAAGTGTAAGAAGAAAGAACATCCTAATTAGTTGATGACTTGATGAGTTAGGCATTTACTTGCCTCAATTAAATGAAACCTCATATCAAAATCGCTCCTGGGTTAAGGCTATTGAGGCATGTGCTTTAAGTCTAAAAAAATTGACCTAAAAGAGGATCCTCAAATTTAGAAAAATATTATAATATATTACAAATATAAATAATCTCAAATTATTTTTATTGTTTTAGGACCAATCTAAAGTACCCCAAAATATTCTGTGGAGCTCATATTTGTTTATAAGTTTAGTTTGGCCCAATTGAAATTAAAATATATACAAAATATTCGTGACCCTTGAATGAGAAATATTACATATACATACAAAATGTTAATGGCCCAAAATAGGGCTCCTAATTTTTTTTTTCTTTCTTTATCAGATTTTAGTGGAAAATATAATTAATTCAATCTCAATCACATTCATACATAACATATTCAATAAACAACAATGCAACCACACTCATAAACAACATATTCAATAAGCAATAATTAATTTAATACATATCCAATATTTTTAATTGAATAAAATTTTCCTAATTTTGGTAACTGTTTTTTTTTGTATGAATACATTTTGATATCTATTTTGATATTAATCAACGATAATGATACAGAATATAGTGATTTTTTTTTTCTTTATGAATATAGGTGTGTGAGTGATTTTCCGATCACACTGCCCAACTCAGTAATCAGCTGGAGAATACTGGCAAAATAGATGACACCTGGCTGACCTGCAACAGAAAGAGAAGATTCCGGCGATGGTTCGTCCACCCGGGGGCACTCCGACGATCAAGTCAGTATATCTCTCAAAGATAATCAATAGTGCTAAACTCACTATTCTTGTCCCATGGGGGTGCCTCTCTTTTATAATTAACTCAATCCTTGTCCCACTAGGAGCCTAGTTTCAATGGACTTTTACTCAGTGCTTATCCTGGACTCTCCAAAAGATAAAAATAAACTCCCTAAAAGCTTTATCCTTATCCATGCCATAGTCATTCCTTATTCTAGGACTCTTGTCCCCTATCCGCTTATCTCGGATTCCGATATCTTCGGAGATAACCTCGGCCTTGCCGAGATAACCTCGGCGTCATAACCTAGACACGTGGCACCTCGGCTGACACGTCGGTGTAACCTTGGCCACGTGTTGGGACTCAGAAAATATATCCCCACAATTGCCCCCTAGGTTCTATTTCCTCGGCATCTTGAGGTGATGAAACCTACATCGTTTGTCCACATAGCACGTCGGCTAAGACTTACACCATCCTTTATGACCGAGATCATCACACGTCAGCTTGACAAGACCAAGACTCTATAGTCTACTTTATCATGACTAAGAACCAAGAACTAAGTTCTTCAAGTTCCTTAACCAAGACCATTCCTCTAGCCGAGGTTCTTGCTTTAATAAATCAAGAACTTCAAGACTTCTATCTGCGCATGAGCGATAAACTCCCTAAGAGCTTTATCCTTATCCATGTCATAGTCCTTCCTTATTCTAGGACTCTTGTCCCCTATCCGCTTATCTCGGATTCTGATATCTTCGAAGATAACCTCGGCCTTGCCGAGATAACCTCGGCGTCATAACCTAGACACGTGGCACCTCGGCTGACACGTCGGTGTAACCTTGGCCACGTGTTGGGACTCAGAAAATATATCCCCACAATTGCCCCCTAGGTTCTATTTCCTCGGCATTCTGAGGTGATGGAACCTATATCGGTACTTTCTGCCAGTACATCGGCTTAAGCCGAGATCATCACTTTAGGCCAACATGTCTTCTTAAAGATCAAAGATTCCAAGAGCTTCTTTACGCGTATGAGCTGTCATGTGTAACAACTCAACCGTTTTTAGCCACGCGTCTTTTTCTTACTGGATCGTACCTGATACGCGTCTGTAAATCGAATAATTCTCACGTGCGCCGTCTGGCGCATACGTTTTTCTAGGCTCATTTATGACCCTTTTGCCGCCGTTTTTGTTTTATCAAAACTTCTTTCTTTCCCCCGTCTTTTCACTTTTCATTGTTTCTGAAGTTCTCTCTCTCTCTAGCCTTCCATCTCCTCCATTGTTTCAAGCTTTCAAGCTCTGCTACCACCGTTGTTCTCCTCTTCCTGCGAGACGCTTGCTATTCTTCTCCGTTGTTACCGTTCGTTTGACTTCGGTGAACTCAACACCGGCCTTCCTCTTTCTG